TGTTTGTGTTTTCCAAACTGTGTGTTCAAATTAACTTTTGAAACTTGCAGGTGAAACTGTGCCACTAGTCCCCCTCTCTGAGCCCGGAGAGGAGGTGACTGAAAACTGCCATGGAGACGATGATAATGAAGACTGCTGGGTTCATCCCTGAACCCTCACATAGCCTACACACACGTAGAGACTTGATATTCATAGTGTTCTCCTTTTCACTTTTCTATATTATCGTTGCATTTCAAGATTTCAATCAATTATCCTTTCTCTGATTGTTGAGCTCATAAAGATTATGTTATCAGTTGAATCTATGGAGGTGGCACTGCTGGTAAACATGGTATTTACTGCTGATGTGAAATGTTTTGCATTTATGAACTGGTTTTATCATTTCTCATTCCTACTTCATATTATCTATCTTATCTATTTTCAGTATTATCATTTATCAGTTTTGTATTTATCATTTCTTGTTATACTGCGTATTATCATTTTAATGTCAGGATTGGTCAGTTTATGAGTTCACATTTATACATCAGATTATCGTTTTTACTTTGGTTTTATCAAATATCATTTATGTTTTATATTATCATTTCGTTCATTTGAGCTTTTCAGAATGAAATTACCATGACTGTTTAGTTTTCCACATGCATGTGCAACGAAGACTGCTTGCTGCTGGTAATACAATGAAGAACAGCTTACACATAGTGCTCACATATAAGGGTCAAGATCATGGCACACACATAGGTTACATAATACAACGGACATTTGCTTACATATCCACTATACGATCATATGATTTTCATTTGTTTGCTAGATTAGGATTGCCGTCTTTTCCCAACTAAACTTGTTTAATTTTCAGTTAGCACGGGCCTAAACTGACATGTTATTGAGGACTGCCCTGCTGCTCGAGGAAAACATGGCCGTCTGCATCCATGTGCACATCCCGCTGAAGGCCACATCGGTCGAAACAACGGCTACAGGAAACGCCATTGCCCCATGCATTAACATTTGATCTGTTTTGACCAGACTTGCCAACATTACAGGTGTGCCATCCACCAGACATCACATGTCATCTGCATTCTGTTCTGAACCTCATGTGGAAAGCAGCTGTCCCCACAACAGGCTGGTTAAAAGGGTGCCCTATACAGTGCACAGGAGAAATTGTCACTGGACAACGCGCTGTTTATTTCAGACAGTGAGAAGGCTCACATCACTGTTCTGGTGGATGCAGTCAACAGGAGGACTAACTCCTTCTCTGAGGTGACTCTGGGACGATGGCGACCCCAGACGCCAGTTTGAAGGGGCACCACAACCTCAGGCTCAGCTTCACCCCAGGACGACAGCGATGACAGCGATATGGAAAACCACCAGACGTTCACTTTATATTTCAAATGCCTTTGAGAGACTAATTAGTTCAGGAAAAGTGCGATCTATGGTTGGGAAAATACGGTACCTGAAAAGGGGGATACTGGATATCTCCTACCTGGTTATGTTTCAACACATTTTATGGGACGTCCACTGTTTGTGGACTTGTGAATGAGGCAGCTGCAAGGTGTTGTGACATAATACAGGACTAACATCCCCACTTCTTTTGGTTGACATAATAAAATCATGTCAAAAGGGGGATTGTTATTATTGGGCTATAATTATAAATTAATTAATTTGTTATGACTGGCTCAGGTCATAACAAGAATGGGAGACAATGCCGTTTGAAAGTGCAAGGAAAGTAATATTTATTTCAATCAAATCAGGATAAACACAAACTAGGATGACCTATGAGTGTCAGTGTCAGTGGTGAAATGTAAATGCTTGGATGTGTTGGATGTATGTATGCGAAGGTGATGAGATGCGAAAATAAAGACAAACTCAAATGTGCATAAGGATGAGTTGATAGCAGCAGCGCAGAGCAGCAGCCGTAGCGCACGATTGGCGAGAGAGACCGAACAGAGGAAAGAGGAGGAGCTTAAATAAGCTCTGTGCTCCAGATCCACTGCCAGCGTGACCCTGCAAAGGGGAGGAGCAAACACAGGCACGGCCCAGCACAAACAATACCCCGCCCACAAGGCATAGGGCCGTAACACCCCCCCCCTCACAAGAAAGGGACCCATTGGGGAACCTTGAAAACCCCAGAGGTAACTACAAATAATTAACCATTTATAAATATAAATCATTTCTTCTTTTAGACCATTTTTTTTTTTTTAGAAAGGTTTGGATTACAGCTAGATAGCAAGATACGTTACCAACAAGATACGTTACCAACATTTAGTGAGCTTGGGACAACGCGTCCGCCACCACGTTGTCACGGCCTTTAATGTGACATACATTTAGGCTATAGGCTTGAAGGAAGAATGCCCATCGCATCAGTCGTTTGGTTGGAAGATTGCAGGCTCAACGTCATGCTTGAGTAAAGTGGTGCGTGATGGTATATCTCCAAACAGACATGGGAAGCTGTTAATTAACTGGACTAACTGTTCCTGCTGCAAGGGATCTAAATGACTTAAAGAGCTCTTAAGTTTTTCCAAAAACTCAGTATTTTTCACCCGACCCGTCACAATAGCCTTATCAGGACCAGGAGGGTCCTCCACCTCCAGTTCTGCCACAACTGGGGACACAGAATGAGCTATTGGCTTTGACACCTTGTCACCAGGTTCACGGAAATAAGATTTCAACAAATTAACATGAAACAGTTTAGTCTTAGATCTACGATCAAGTGTAGAGATCAAATAGTACTGATCAGACAATTTTTTCAACACCGAGTATGGCCCAGAATACTTTGCTTGAAACGGAGATGAAACAAATGGCATCAGGGCTAGCACACGATCACCAGGGAGAAACTCTCTGCGTACTGCTTTACGGTCATAGTGTTTTTTCATTTTTGACTGCACACCAGCTAGCCTTTTTTTAGCCGTCTCCTGAGCTGAAGAGCAAACACCATCCAATAGGGATGTCAAAGTGCTGTCAGCCTTCTGCTCCTTCAACTGATCAGTATTAAAGATAGACCATGGAGAAACAGGTAATGCTAAATCACATTCCAAACTCTGATTTTTTAGTTTTGAAGTCACTGCACATGCACTGAAAACATCAGGAAACTGCATTTCATTTTTATCAGGCTTACTGAACACCAGGGGAACATTGGTCACTTTAACAGGTGGAGGAACATCAGCCCACACCCGGCTACCTGCAAGGTAATTTCCCAGGATCATTTCCACACCGTCCACAGGTAAAACTGGACGAACACCAATGGACACCTCACCCTTGAAAAAATCACAATGTAGCATCATTTTGTGTTGCGGTACACTCAAAACATTCATGCCCATACCTACTACAGGAATGTTTGAGCCAACAGAGGTTTCACTAGAGAATGGCAAAGTAGACGCTAAGATAAATGAGTCCAAGGCTCCAGTGTCTCGCAAAATTTTCACGCGGACACGCGCTTCACTGCCCACTAAGGACACAAAACCTTCAGTGATGAAAGGCAAATATGACTCCAACTTAGGTTTAACTCCAGCAGTAACCTCAGTCATCTCCTTCTTCACAACAGATGCAGTACACATAACAGGTTTAGGACTACCAGTGACCTGTTTAGGACGAGACTCCAGTGCATAACAGTCATTTTTCCAATGCCCACGTTTATGGCAGTAATTGCAAACTTTATCAGATTCTCGTGAAAAACGTCCATTTCTAGGTTCAACCACAGGTGGCTTCCTTGTCAAGTCTTCACGACGACCAGAAGAACCAAAACAACTACCAAATGAATGTATCAAGTGGTATTCATCAGCGAGCGCAGCCGCCTCTGCTACAGACTTAACACCACGCTCACCAATGTATATAGCAAGGCGCTCCGACACAGAGTTTTTAAACTGTTCCAGAATGACCAACTCTCGGAGGTCTTCAAATGTCTCAACACCAGTTGAGGAGCACCAACTATCAAAATGAGTGACCAGGTCCCGCATGAACTCCAAATGAGATTTGTCACCACGTTTCCACCCACGAAAACGCTGCCTATATGCCTCAGGCACCAGTTCATAGGCTTTAAGGACAGCAGCCTTAACTGTACCATAAGCTACACAGTCAGCACTACTCAAAGCAGAAAAGGCCTTGTGGCAGTCGTGCCACCGTGGGTGCCCCGACAGAGTTCCAGAGACAAGGATTCGTTGGTTTTATGGGTTTTTTATTCAGAGCGTGTGTGCCACCCGCACACACTCTCTCTCACACAAGCACACACACTCACGCCCGGCTAAGGCTCTTTGTTTCTTGCTTGTCCTGCTCCAGGTCTCCTCCAAAACCAGTCCTCCCCAGGTCCAGCACACTACTCTTTTTACAGAGGGGAGAGTGATTAGCCAACCGGTTCCAGGTGTGCCCAATCATCTCCCCTGGCACTGCTCACCTGAGCCTTCTCCACCCCTCCCCCCTGCAGCTGAGCGCCACGCCCCTTCCACAGTAAAACATATACATCAAACAGGATTTTTGTGTAACTTCAAATGAATGATTCAAAACTTGTTCAAATCACTTTGGAAGTGTTCTACATCACGTTCCATGACTTCACAACCAAAATCTCACTTGCACTCACTTTCAGTCAAAAGATATCACACTTTCCAATAGAAATCCAGAAATAAGCTCCTTTGGCCAAGAGATGCACAAAACAGGATTCTTGCTAAAACTTCCCAGTAATGAATACAATCTAGGTCAAATAACTTTCAAAGTGTAATGTAGCACATCCCCTGCCTTGTCAGAAAGAATCACACTGGTACTAACA